ATACTGCGTGTGTCGCCTTGTGTATTTAAGAAGGGAGGGTGTGCATGTGTTGGGGTCCATTTCTGGGAGGGGAGTGTATGTGTGCGTGTCTATGTGTGTATGAGGGATCCAGAGGCACCACGAGGGGTCATTGACCTTGTCATCCACAGACAACCGCGTGAAGTGCCCCCCGTGAGACCCCCACCCGTTAGCATCGAGGCCTCAGACTCTGAGCTGTCCTATCGCTAGTGTGACATCCCTGAGCTGTGGCTGCCACACGTGTGTCCCAACTTGCCTTGGGCTGGCTGAGCCTGTCTGCAGTGGAGGGTGGAGCCCCTGTTCCCTTGAGATCTGTCAGCTCCTCAGGTCCCAGGCGCTGACACACGGGCCCCCCCACCTCCTGATCCCCCCAAACCTGGAGGACTCCTCTGCTTCCATCGTCCCAGCCCCTTGGCCCTCTCTTCCCGCCCCACCCCACCCCCAGTGGTCTGACTGGTTCCCAACAAAAACACCCTAAGAATGAGCTCACGGAGAGGCCGCCCGCCTCCACACGCCCCGCCCCGCCCCACACGCCCAGCAGAGGCGGGCGCCTCCAGTCCAGGTCACACGGCGGCCGGGAGGTATTCTGGGGCCCTTGGGGTGGACAAGGCTGGCCAGGTGAGCCAAGGGCAGGTGGGAGGCCACGAGACCACTGTTTGCCCTCTTGGGGTTAGTTATGCATGGGGTTTCAGAGTTGCCCGCAGGGCAGGGCCCAGGGCTGAGGACCAGCAAAGTTAGACTAGGATGTTCCCAGTTGCCGCCTGGCTGGTATGGGTGTGGGACAGGGAGCTGGCCCGAGTGAGGAGGGGATGGAGACAGAGGGCTGGCTGAGCCGGCTGGACAGGGAGACAGGGAAGGGTCCTGATGGGCGGCCAGCCGGCTGGCCTGGCCCTGGCCGTGATTCCCCAATCCCCTCCACCTGCCCCCCTCCCCACCAGGAGCTGCAATGTCAGTACAGGTGGCAGCCCCTGGAAGCGTGGGGCTGGGCCCAGAGCGCCTGAGCCCCGAGGAGCTGGTGCGGCAGACACGACAAGTGGTGCAGGGGTTGGAGGCCCTGCGGGCCGAGCACCATGGCCTGGCCAGACACCTGGCTGAGGCCCTGGCAGGACAGGGCCTGGTGGCTGGCTTGGAGCTCCTGGAAGAAAAGCAGCAGGTGGTGAGCCGCGCACTGGAGGCCATCGAGCTGGGACTGGGTGAGGCCCAGGTATGCGGGGGGCCAGCACTCCAGCTATGGGGAGGGGGGAGGCTGGGAAGCTGGCAGGAGGCCGGGGGATGGAGGAGACAGCTATGCGGTGGGACGAGCCTGGAGCGGGGGAGGCCTAGGGGAGCCAGGCCTAGGGAGAGGCTCTAGGCTGGGGTGGGGTTCCTGGGCAGCAGAAGGGGTCCTAGTGTGGTTCAGGAGCCCCTGAGCCAAATGGCATTCATCTGTAGAACTCTGGGTCCTGGGGAGACTTTGGGGCCACACGAGTAGACCATGAGCGTCCCTACAGTAATTTGCATGCCTGGGTGAGATCAGAAGGCTCCCTGGACAGGATCTGGGGCTTTTCCCCCGGGAGCTGCTGCACATCCTTGGAATCCCATGGAAGGGTCTCTGTAGGATCCAGGGGCTCCTGGAGCAGGGGCGCTCTGGGCTGGGCCGGGCCTCTGACCCTCGGGCCCCCACAGGTGCTGCTGGCCCTGTCAGCGCACGTGGGCTCGCTGGAGGCGGAGAAGCAGCGGTTGCGAGCCCAGGCCCGGCGGCTGGCCCAGGAGAACGCGTGGCTGCGGGAGGAGCTGGAGGAGACGCAGCGGCGGCTCCGGGCCAGTGAGGAGGCCGTGGCGCAGCTTGAGGAGGAGAAGAACCACCTCGAGTTCCTGGGGCAGCTGCGACAGTATGACCCGCCGGCAGAGAGTCAGGTGCCGTGGGGGGCCAGAGGCGCTGGGGTCCCGCTTCCTCCCTAGACACCCCACAGACACCCCATCAGGACCCCCCATGGGCCCCGAGTGCCCCAGATCCTCCTTCCAAAGATCTGGACCCCTTGACAGACTTCTACAACCCCCAGATCTACTAGAATTTCCATAGAAGTCCCCCAGTTTCCACAAAGCCCCCAGATCTTCTCCCAAGCCCTCAGAACCACCACCACCCCCAGGCTCCTGACCCCTACCTCCCTCAAACCCTGAGATCCAGGACTCCGGTCTCTAAAGCAAACTCCCAGCCTCTTGACAGCCCCCCTTTCCTGACCTCTACAGCGGCCTGAATCCCCCCCTCGGCGAGACAGCCTGGCCTCCCTGTTCCCCAGTGAGGAGGAAGAGAGGAAAGGTGGGTGTGGGGGAGCCCACAGTTGCGGGGGGGGGCACTCAGGCACAGGGGAGAGAGGCTGAGGCTGAGACCCCGAGGTAGATGTCTGGGCAGGGAGGCAGGAGCGATGAGGTCAAGTGGCTGGGTCAGGGTAGGTGGCAGGGCAGCTGCCGAGGCTGGCAGCTAGGAAACCAAGCAAGGTGGCCACAGTGCCCGTCGGCCAGGCTGACCCCGTGTTCACATCCATCACCTGGCTTCCCGATCTCAGAGCTCCAGTGGGGGCGGTGGGGGGGGCATCATCCCAGGGGCCAGTGGGGCAATGAGGCAGCTACAGTCCTGGGGTACGTGCTCCCTTTCATGGGGTAGGAAAGGCTTAGATGCCAGCAGTGCCCTGATGCCTGGCCGCCCCCCAGCAGGCTCGGAGGCAGTGGGGGCCGCGGCGGCTCAGCAGGGCGGCTACGAGATCCCTGCCCGCCTTCGGACCCTGCACAACCTTGTGATCCAGTACGCGGGCCAGGGCCGCTACGAGGTTGCAGTGCCGCTGTGCCGCCAGGCCTTGGAGGACCTGGAGCGGAGCTCGGGCCACTGCCACCCCGACGTGGCCACCATGCTCAACATCCTGGCGCTGGTGTACCGGTGAGCCCATGGCCAGTGTGGACCTGTTGTTGGGGGGTGGGGGCTGGCGTCCTGCTCTGCCAGCACGGGGCACCTGGACTGGAGGTGAGGCAGGGACCTGGGGAAGCCACTGTGACCCAGGCGAGGAGTCCGAGAACATAGGCAGGACACCCCAAAAGAACGGGAAGCAGCCCTGAGGTGGCTGGAGGCTTGCCAGCGACGGGAGCCTCTGCTAGATTTGGAGGGCATGGAGACCCCAACAAGGGACTGCGGAAGGGTGGCACCCCAGCATGGCCCACGCTCTCCATCCCTGGGCCTCCTCACAGGGACCAGAACAAGTTCAAGGAGGCCACAGACCTTCTCCACGATGCCCTGCAGATCCGGGAGCAGACGCTGGGCCCTGAGCACCCTGCAGTGAGTGGGGGCCTGGGAGGGAGGGTAGTGGGGCCCTGCCTCCCCCGACCCTCTTCCCAATACCCTGACCTGCCTCCCCCCACCTGACACCATCCCTGCAGGTGGCCGCCACCCTCAACAACCTGGCCGTGCTCTATGGGAAGCGGGGGCGTTACCGGGAGGCTGAGCCCCTGTGCCAGCGCGCCCTGGAGATCCGGGAGAAGGTACTGCCCCCTCCCGGGGCCCTGACCCTGGCCCGCCCCTGCAGAGTCCCTTGTCCACCAGTCCTTCCTACTTGAACCTGATGTGCTCAGTTTGGTGGCTCTTGCCTTGTAACCCTGATCCCATGATGTCCTTCCCATCGGATACTGTGAGCCCCAGGTTTGAGCCCGGAGGACTCAATCTCGTGACCCGCCCCCCCTTGACTTTTAGTGAACTCCCCTGATCTTGACTCTGTTCTTCTGCATCACCTCACATGCCCACAGCCGTCCTTCCAGTCCCATAGGACACCGACCTCGACCTGATGAATCTCGTTTGTGTAACTTCTACCCTCTGGTCCACAACCTCATGCAACTCTCCCCCTAGATCCTATGAACCTTTCCTCGTGCCCCCCATGGCCTCTGCCGGCATCACGCGGCTCACCCATGCCCCCCGGCCCCCAGGTCCTGGGGAGCGACCACCCGGACGTAGCCAAGCAGCTCAACAACCTGGCCTTGCTGTGCCAGAACCAGGGCAAGTTCGAGGAGGTGGAGCAGCACTACGCCCGCGCCCTGAGCATCTACGAGGCCCTGGGCGGGCCCAACGACCCAAACGTGGCCAAGACCAAAAACAACCTGGTGAGGGCGCTGCGGGGCACAGGTACCTCTCAGCCCTGGGGCTGCCTGCCATGGCCTGGGAGAGGCACCCACGGGCTCAAGCGAGCCCCTAGAGCAGGGGTCGCCTAAGACCTGGCCTCTGAGCCGGGCCCTGACCAGTGAGGTCACCTGGCACATAGAGGACATGGAAGCCTCAGGAAACACGCAGGTTGGTGGGGCCAGAGGATGGATCCAGAGGTTTATTGAGCGCTAGAGCCCCATCTCAGTCCTGGAGGGAAAGCACCATCCATTTCTTAAGGGCCCCTAGGAGCTAAGTGCTCCTGTTGTCCCATTCTGCAAATAAACTGAGGCACAAAGGTTATGTCACTAGTCCATAGTGGAGCAGGAATTAGTCACTTGCCCCAGGTCACGAGGTTGGGGGGGAGGGGAGGATGTGCCCAGGGGAGCTCCAGATCCGAGCCTCGATCACCCGCCCTCCCCGCAGGCCTCGGCCTACCTGAAACAGAACAAGTACCAGCAAGCAGAAGAGCTGTACCGAGAGATCCTGAGCCGCGAGGACCTGCCCGCCCCTCTGGGTGAGCCCCCACCCCGCCCCCGCCCCCCCAGGCGACTGCTCCGTGTCCCCACTGCACTCCCCCCCTCTGTTCCTAGGAGCTCCCAATGCAGGCACAGCTGGTGACGCCGAACAGGTGAGGAGGGAAGACGGGCTTGGCTTCCGCTCCTGGGGTGGGGACTGGAGGAGAAGGGGGCTGACTGGGGTCCTGGCACCCTCTCCAGACCCTTCGTCGGAGCAGCTCCTTCTCCAAGATCCGTGAGTCCCTAAGGCGTGGAAGTGAGAAGCTGGTCTCCCGTCTCCGGGGCGAGGGGATGGCAGGGGCAGCCGGGTGAGTGTCCGATCGGGGCAGCAAAGAGCCCCAACAGCTGGAGCTTCTGCAACCCACACTGCTCTGTCCTGTTCCAGAACTTTCCACGGTTCCATCGCCTCTGTCAGTCACATCCGGTGCCAGGCAAGCCTTGCCTAGAGCGGGAGGCAGACGCTGTGGGCCTCACCCTTCCACCCTCTCCTTACAGGATGAAGAGAGCCCTGTCGCTCAACATGCTGAACGTGGACGGTCCGAAGGCTGCGGGGACCCAGGTGAGGGGAGCCGGGGCACCTGGGGCAACAGTGGAGTCGGGGGCTGGGCTAGCAGGCCCAGAGGCAAGGGAGGAGGGGGATGCCTGGGCTGGTGTTGGAAGGGACCCGTGAAGAGGAGAATGGACAGGTCCTAGTTGGGCTAGAGCCCGAGGGACAGACAAGCAAGCCCCGGGGATGCTCAGCGGTGACCCTCATGGCACCCAGAGCAGAGCCGGGTCCTGCCCCGCGCCCACACCTCCCCTGTGCCTGTCTGCAGGTCCCCCATCAGCACCTGAGCGAGACCACACGCACCCTCAGCACCAGCACCCAGGACCTGGGCCCCCGCTGAAGGGGAAAGGACAACATGGCTGTAGCTTCTCAGGAAGAGTGGGGAAGGGGTGAGGGGCAGCCTTTCATCTCCCTGATTTGCTCCCCACCTCTTAGGGGCTCCCCCTATATGGGATTCCCTCGCTCCTCCTGCAATTAAAGGCTGTAGACTTGGAAGCCATGAATGTCAACCTGAGGTTTCCTGTAAGGCCCAGAGGCCACCTCTAGGCCGCTGGGCCTCGGGGCTAGGTGAAACCCCAGAGTCGCCCCACGCACTTCCCGGGCCCTGTGCCCACCTTGAGCTACAGCTGCTGCGCGATCTGCTCTATCCTCCGCAGCGTCTCCTCCGATTCCAGCTGCTCCAGGCTCAGCAGGGACAGGCCCAGCTGGTCTTCCTGGTGGGTGAGGGGAGAGGAGTCAGCTCCGGGGCGGGGCTGGACGGCGGGAGCACTTCCCCACAGGCCACCTGGGACCCCAGGGGCCAAGACTTGAGAACCAGTAGCGACGGGGTGGCACGCACGGGGGCTATGGGGCGGGATGCTGGAGTCTAGAAACACCACCTAAGGGGGGAACATGCCATCCCTGGAAGCAGAAGCTAGGCCTGAGGGAGGGAGAGGACAGCCAGCCAGTCTCCCACAGGGAGGACGGGCGTGGCCACTCCCCTGGGCAGGGCTGGGGCTTGGGACCTTCGTTGAGGAGCGTCGCCTTGGAAGAGTAGAGGGAGGGAGGGTGGGTCCCTCCAGCTCACCCGGTGGAACGGCTGAGCCATCTGCCTCAGGAAGTACTTGGCGACCTGGACGCCCTCATCCACGGTCAGGTTGAGGTTGGCGTCCGTGAGGTGCTCCTGGATCCAGCGGGGCAGCTTCCCGCGCTTGTCGGCCCGGGCAAACCGCTGTCAGCAGGAGCGCGAGGGAGGGAGGGAAGACATGAGGCCCCGGCCAGGGAGCCCGGGCCTCCTTCCCCATCTGGAAAGGGGGCAGCGGGCACAGCCCGGTAGGCCCACACCCCTGCACCCACACCTTGTCGGCAAAGACCATGAGGCCGTAGTCCGTCTTGCCACGGATGGCCCGACCCACACACTGGGCTGCGTGGCGCATGGCGTCGAAGGTGAGAAAGTCGTTCTCGCGGATCTGGAACTGGTCCCGCAGGTATTCCAGCCGCGCCTGCCCGTGAGAAGAGGGCGGAGAGGTCCCTCCTGCACGCCACCCCAGTCCCAGGGGGAGGGCCCCAGAGCCCCAACTGTCCCAGGGACCCACAGTGCTGCTCACCTTGAGAATGCGGCTCTGGGTATAAACGTACGGGACACCGAACATGATGACCGCGCGCCCATAGTGGTGCACTGGGGAGCAAGCACAGGGCGGGGGATAGGGTTACTGGGGGGTGATCGGAGCAGCAGACCCCACGGGGCCCGGGGACTGGGACTGAGGAAGAGGGAGGTCCCTGCGTGAGCCTAGGCTGTGTGTGTGTTTGGTGGCGGGGGGGTGGGCAGGGGGTTTCCCCTGCGGGAACAGAAATAGCCAGAGCTCCAGGCAGGCGCCTGGGGAGGGGAGAGCCCGGTCCACTCACCGAAGTCGATTCCCTCAGACACTTTTCCCCGGGCCACTGACAGCAGGATGGCTCCACGGCCATTCTCACAGGCCTGGGGAAGGGAAGCCGAGACAGGAGACAAGTCCCTCAGAACTGCCTCCCCCGGGGCCCCCTGCGTGCAGTCTCCCGGCACCTCCTGCCCCCCTGCCCACCTCCTGGTACTTCTCCAGGGCGACACTGGTCTCGGCCCCATCCTGCGTCTCAATGAAGAGCAGCTTATTCCTCTGGATGTTTTCAAGAATGCCCTAGGGGAGGACAACAGGCAGGTCAGGCTGCAGGTTGGCGGAAAGCGGACTAAGGGCACAGGCGTCCTGGCTCGGCTCAACTCTGCCCGGATCCCCGTGCAGCCGACCACCTCTCTCCCCGGGCCCCGGCGGCCGGCAGACTCGGGGGTGGGGTCGGGGGGTGGCTGCTGGCTGGCCTCACTCCTGGTGGGAAGCTGTGATTCCAGGCATGGAACTCCATCTTCTGGACAAGTGGGGCAGGCATATGGCCCCAGCCGATCAAGTGGGACCCTCCACCCACCCCGCTGGTACTTAGTGGAGGAGCCAACGTAGGCCGGGGGAGCCAAGCTGGGGCTGCCCAGAGACTTCCATGACCCCTGCACTAGCTCTGCAAGTGCTCAAGGACAGACGCAGGGACAGAACGGAGGGTCCAGAAACACACCTCCACACAGATGGCTCACCTGCACCCCTCGGCAGGGGCGGTGGCGAGTGCTTTCTAGGGAACTGGGCTGCAATGACTGGAGCTTCACAGAGGCAGAGGAAGAACCTTGACCCTGACCTTACACCACACACAAAGATGTGAGGTACCTCACAGACCCAGATGCGAAAGCTAACACTAGCCGGCTTCTAGAAGAAACACAGGATGTGATCTTCAGGAGCCTGGGGTAGGCAGAGTTTTCTTAAATAGGACACACGAGACTCAAGATGCGGACCTGGATGGCCAGCAGCCACCTTTCCCATGGTGTGGAAAGCACCCCACTGAGGACGAGACCGACGTCTCGACCGAGTGGACAAGGCTTCCCTGCCCCGTTCCCTGGAGTGTGGGTTACCCTAGAGCCATCTGCTTCCACTACCTGAGAGCTGGGCTGTGGTGCAGAAGCAGAGAGCTCACAGCAGCTATCACACCCCCATCCTGCCAGCCATCCCGGGGCCTGGCTGTGGTGAGCCCCACTTCCAGAACACTCCATGACCTCACCCCTGCACTGTCCCGCAGGGGCTGGATGTGGGGGGGAAGAGGGGACTAGGGTACATTACACCGTTTGTTCTTTGAACTGTGTTTCATACACTGTCCTGTCCCCTATGATACGCGTCACCACTTACAACACGAGACCAACGAGGAAGACCGCCAAGAGCTGAAGAGAGGGGCCTTTCCCGGGCAGCGGATGGCTGGGCATACCTGCTCATACCAGGAGGCCACGGTGCTCTCCATGTACTGGTAGCTGGTGAAGAAGGCCACAATGCCATCGGGGACCACGGCGGACATCTCCAGCAGGAGGTTCCCATAGTTCCGGATCACCGCTGGTTGGCAGGGGGTGGTCAGAGCTTGTGCACGGGTCCTGCTCCCCCTCCCTCGTCAGAGCTCTCCTAGCTAATGCCCCATCTTGAACTCAGGGTTCCCAAAAAATGCCACTGAGGCCACCTGGAGGTGGAGGGCTCCACACCCCCGGAGGGCTCTTCACACACATTCCACGTCTCTTCCCAGGCCCCTGGGAGGACTGTGCCCCCCGCCCCTGCCCCCAGAGTTAGGTGTGGCCACGTGACTTGCGCTGGCCAACGAAAGGGGCACGGAAGGGGCCGTGGGTCACTTCTGGGTGAACGCCTTCACGAGGCAGAGCACCATTACCAGGACCCTTCCCGTCACACGTCACCCCCACAGGGGCGTGTCCAGTGGGGCAGGTTCCCAGGGTGAGGAGACACGGGGCAGGCCCCCGCCAACCCACAGTGGTGCATACTGTGAGCAAGATGTGACTACAGCGCTAAGCGGCTTGGACTTCAGGCGATTTGTTACCACGGCCTGAGACCCCCAATACACCTGCCCCAGGGAACCCGTGAAGCCGCCCCATGAGCAGCATACCGATATCCTCCCGGGTCTCAAATTTGGAGCTGATGGCCACCTGGTCGTTGCCACGACCGATGATCTGCAGAGAGCAAGAGATGTCCGGGTAAGCAACCGGCAGCAACCACCCCAACCGGCTGGCGGCCTGCTGCTGCGGGGCTCGGCTTTGCATGGACATGGCGCCCACGAGTGAACCCTTGGCTCCCCTGTCACCCCCACAGCACGGATGGATGACCTCAGACCTGGAGAAGGTGAGCTGCCCGCCATGGGTCACGTGGCAAGTCAACAGTAGCGGCAGAACCGATCCCGTCTGCCCGCACCGCTGACCAGCAAGTCCATCCTGCCAGCCCCAGCCCCCGGGGCCACGTGGTTCCCGCAGGACGTGTCTCCCCATGAGCTCGCCAGCTACCAGGCACAGGGCACCCCCCAGCACGCCCCGCTGACCTCCACAGACCACGAGGCAGGATGTGGCCATCACTAGTCTTCAACCCCCGAAGGGCGATTCCAAAAGCTGAGCAACTCCAGAAACTCCTGGTACTTAACTCTGGTACTAACTCCTGTGGTCGAGACCCCTGCCCTCACCTGAGTCCACTCAGGGTCCTGGCTGACCTCCCTCCATCTGCCAGCTTAAAACACGCTCCTGCCAAACCAGGACTTTCCCTGGCGGGAGCTGCCCCAACCCCACTGCAAATCTCAAACCCCACACAGCACCCGCTTGGTTTTTAAAGTCTGGGAAATTCTCACTTCTAGAATACAACTGGCCCAAGGAATTCGGAGAATGGATTGAGGGCCCACGTTATGAAGCCTGTTTTACAAAGGAGACTGAGACAAAGCAGAAGGGTCATCATCAAGGTCACGGCCAGAGGACAAACTAGGCAGAGCCCACATTAACCAAGATGTTGACCGAGCGCCCACCGGCACCGGGCCCTGGGCCGTGTAAGCCGCTCTCTCACTATCCCCTCAACCACCCCGGGAGGTCAGGGAGGAAGCACTCCCACTTTATAGATTAGAAACTGAGGCCTGGGGAATCACAACCCCAGAGAAAAGTCACATCAAGCCCAGATCTGCCTGAACCCAGAGTCTGTGCCCTCAGCTGTAAAACTCTCCTGCCCGAACAGCAGGGGAAAGAGAGGGAGGAATGGCGGCCCACCGCCCCTGGCCCAGCACCCACCCTCTCCCACGCACCATGGGGCAGAGGCAGACCCGGGCCAGTGTCATGGTGAAGGTTGCCATGGTGACAGGGTGGAAGTCCAGAATCTTGGGGTAGATGTCCAGCGGGGACAGCGTCTGTTGTAGGGACAGTGGGAGGGATCTTAGCAGAACTGGGCGGAAACCGGGAGCCCCACAGTGGAGGGCTGGGGACTGGGGGCGGAGAAGGGGCCTCACCCCCGATGTGATGATCACTGACTGGAAGCGCTCGAACACGGGTTTGATGGCCAGTGAGGCGTCCATGCAGCTGCAGGAAGCGGACGGGGGTGGTGAGGACCACTCTGGGGCCCCCTTGGTCTGTTCACGCCCCCACACTGGGGTCGGGTCTCACCTGAAGTGCAGGATGGGGTTGGCAATGGTGGGGGTCCTGTCATCAAAGGGCTCAATGATGATGGTGAAACCTACAAGCAGGTGAGACTCTTGGTCACTGCCACGCCCACCCAGCCACTCTCTCCTGCCCCATTAGTGACTGGGACCAGCCACTGGTTCCTCAAGCTTAAAACCCAGGCGTCGGGAGTCCACAGTACACCCCAACCTGCCCACTTCTCCCAGGGCCGACACCCACGCAGGAGTGTCGCAAACAGAGTGCACCAAAGGTTCCCTCCTCAGAGTCTCCCGGGGCCACAGGAACCCACACCCCCACTCAAGCCGAAGCCTGGAGCCTTCCCCCATGATCCTTGTCTCTAAACCATCAGGCAGGTCGGCTCTGCCTCCAAAGCCTATCTGTGATCTGACCACTCTCCTCCCCACCCCACCATCACCTCTAGCCTGGACTATTGCAGTCACCTCCCTGAGCTTCCAGCTCCCACCTGTGCTCCCTTCCCAGCAGCCAGAGGGACCCTGTGAAATCCTGAGTCAGGTCACATCCCTGCCCTGCTCAGAGGCCTTGCACAGCTCCCCAGGCCCCTTCCAGAGTCCAAGATTGTCTTTGAGACCCTGTCGTGCTGACCTCATTTCCTCCTGGCTTACAGGCCGCCTCCTGCCTAACTTTCCAAAAACCATCAGGCTCACTCCACCCCAGGGCCTTTGCACTGGCTGGCCCCACAGCCTGAAAAGGTTCCCAAGGCAGCTGGTTCCATCTGGTCATTTGGAACTCAGCTCAAATGTCAGAGCCTCAGGCTTCCTTGGCCACTGCAGGCATGTTCCAACATGGCAACATTTTTGTTTCTTACGAAAACTGTCTCTTTCTGGAATTATCTTTCTTTTTTGTTTGAGTCTCTATTACCTGTCCTCCCCTCTGCAATGTAAGTTCCAAGAGATCAGGAATGAGACCCCTCTTGGTTCCTGACACTTCCTCAGTGTAAGGCCTGGCCCGTTTTTTGGGGAAAAAAAAAAGGTGAATGAGGGGTGCCTGGGTGGCTCAGTGGGTTAAAGCCTCTGCCCTCAGCTCAGGTCATGATCTCAGGGTCCTGGGATCAAGCCCTGCATCAGGCTCTCTGCTCAGCAGGGAACCTGCTTCCCCCTCTCTCTCTGCCTACTTGTGACCTCTGTCTGCCAAATAAATAAATAAAATCTTTCAAAAAAAAAAAAAAAGGTGAATGAATGAGTTCATATATTCAACTTCACTTAATTAAAAAAAAATGGCACCTGAGTGGCTCAGTCATTAAGTGTCTGCCTTTGGCTTAGGTCATGATCTCAGGGTCCTGGGATCAAGCACTACATTGGGCTCCCTTCTAGGCAGGAAGCCTGCTTCTCCCTCTCCCACTCCCCCTGCTTGTGTTCCCTCACTCACTGTCTCTGTCAAATAAAATAAATAAAATCTTAAACAAACAAACAAACAAACAAAAAGTCCTCTGTGCCCTGTCCTGTACTGGTGACACAGTGGGAACCAAGATAGCTCTGGAACTGCCCTCCCCAGGCTCACAGTCTGATGATGGAGGCACGGTCCTGTCCCCAGAGTGACCACTCAGAGTAGACAGGGCTGGGACAGGGAAGCCAGAAGGAAGGGGGCCTGACCCAGCCTGGGGGTCAGGGAGGGCTTCCTGGAAGAGGGAACATCTCTAACAAGCCAAGCCTGAAGGAGCAGGAGATAACAGGGGGCTGAGGAATACTGGGATAGATGTCCCAGGTAAACAGTGTGAGGCGTTGGTGGATGGGGAAGTGGGGAGGAGAGGAGAAAGCCAGTCCCAGAAGGAAGATGGGGTGGGATAGGGGGCTGGACACATAAGGAAGCTTCTAGTGGGACTTGCTGCTGACAGATCCTGGGTTTGGGGGACAGCCTCTCCATCCTCTGGGCTGGTGCAGCATGTAAAGAGGCCTGACCTGGTTTCCGGGATACAGCAGTAATCCCTGGGGATCAGACTGAGCCCTTGGCCAGCTTAACGATGAGGAAGGGGAGGGAGGGCTGACCAGTAAAGCCTCGGGAACACTTCCCCTCTCCCTGGCAAGCTGGACACCCGAGCACTGCTCCCCACCCCAGGCACCGGGTCCTACCTCTCTCTCCAGCTCCTCTGTCCTCCCATCCTGCCCCAGGTCCCTGCCTTGCTCAGAACCTCCCATGGCTCCCCACTTTCTGGGAGTAGAAGGGCCAACTCCTTACCAGACCGTACAGGGTGAGTGACAGCCCAGAGCTTCTCTGGCCTCACCCCCCACCCTACCCCACTCTGCCGCCAGAGGGAGCCTCTGAAAATACAAATCTAAGCACGAGGCTTGGCGAACTCAAGACCTATCAGTGGAACCGCCCTACGCTCAGAACAAAGCCCAAACTCCTGAGCCCAAACCTACAAGGTTCTGAGCGTCCCAGCCCCACAGACAAGCCTCTGGTCTCCACGGGGATCCTCATTCTGGCTGCTGGGGGGCCTGGCACAGGCAGAAGATGAGCTTACCTTTGGCATAAGTGCTGACGAGGGTGGCGAAGTTAGCCAGAAGGGTGAGGGGAGAGAAGTCGGCGAGGTCAGCGATCTCCAGGGTGTGCAGGAGGGAGCGGAGACGCTCGGCACAGAATCTGGTGCAGGAGGCCAGACGGCGTCAGGGGGGCAACGGAGTGCCAACGGGACAGTGACCCCCTCCGCCACCATCAGCGTGCGGTCACGCATGCCACCCCTTGCGACTAGGTGGTTGCTGAGGACAGAGGCTGGGGCTGTTTCAGTCACCCGTGTCTCCACACTCTACACCTGCACACATACACCAGTGATCAGACCCTCCAAGCACATGGTCACACGATCTCATGCACGTTCTTGGTCCAAAGAGGAGACCCACAGCCACACCGAGCATCCCAGTCCTGCACGGCCACACACACACTCACACCCACGGGCGCTCCCACTGTCAGTCACACGTGGCCACCCTGATGACACACAGAGCGTCAGAGTCCCACAGACTCACAGAGGACAACTCCACACACCCTCACGTGTGTGCACACACACACAGCTACTCGGTCACAAACACCGACAGTCAGGCTTGACGCTGTCACCCCTCAAGGGCAGGTCATGGGGCATGGCGCCAGGCCGATGGTCAGAGTTTTAGAACCGACCTCCAAACATCACGGCTTCAAGTCTGACTTCTTGATGCCCCCCGACCCTGGCTGTATCAGGCGGCCCCTGGGGGCTCCCCCAACCCAGCCAGGCCCACTCAGGGTTGTCCCAGTCCCAGTCCAGGGACGGGTCTCCCTGGGGGGCCCTGAGCCCCAGGAGGGCAGGGCTGGCACTGCCATGGTCACAGGGCAAAGGCTCTGGCACAGAGCAGGCACTCGGGGAACATGACTGGCTAGGAGCCCATCTCTGCCTTCATGAGTCTCTCATGAAGAGGGATAGACAATGCCACAAGGGCCGTCCCACTCCACGAGATGCAGGGCAGCCAGGGCCTTCGGAGCCCTATAGACCTGGCTTCACGCACCTCCCCCATGAGGTGCTGTGTGACCCTGGCTAATAGCTTGCTGTCTCTAGGCCACACTGTCCTCGTGTGCAGCCAGGGACGCTGTACTGAGAGCCCACGAGATACAGTACCTCAAGTGGTTAGCTCATTGCTGGGGGTCAAGATGGGGAGTTATTTCTATCATGGCTTTCTCATGTAACCCCAGCAGAAACCAGAGTAAAGGTGGCCACTCCATTCCCATTCAACAGAGGAGGAAACTGAGGTTCAGAGAAGACCCATGACTTATCCAAAATAGCAGAGGAAGAGGACAGAAGGCCCCACCCGACTCCCAGGTCCACGTTCTGCTTATTTGGCGCTGGGGAGGCTGACCCACCCCACCGTCTGCCCAGTGGGGGCATTCCTGCCCTCAGGCTTCCGGGGCACAAAGAGAAGCACTGGCAGGAGACTGGGGTGCAAGGGATCCACAGCACCTCTCCCCCTGAAGCTCCCACCGTGCTGGGTTCTTGTCCGGGGCCCCCCTCCAGGGCCGCTCCCTCCCCGGCTACCCCTTGGTCTGACGGCCCTCACACAGGCTCCTTCTACCTGGATCGCTGACTCCCGACACGGGCACAATGTGGAAGCTCAGGCCCAGAGGCTGAGGTTCGGGGAGGGCCCAGGGTCTGCCCTCCCAGCCCACCCCCACCTCCAGCCGCGTGGGGCCACACCTGAGGGGCTTGCGCTGGATGCACACGCGCTGGGCCAGGCTGCTGAGGAAGGCCGGGGGGCTCTCCTGCACCACGTGCTGGACCCGCAGCCGCCACTTGACATACTCCAGCAGCCGCCGCAGGAAGCCCAGGAAGTGCTCGGCCGTGCGGATGGAGCCCGGTACGGCTTCTGCGGGAAGAAGGCATCAGCCACCCTGGTGGCCGGGAGCGGGCCGGGTGAGGGGGGCTGCGGGTGGCAGCAGGGAGCCAGGGCTCACCCTGTAGCACCTCGTCGGGAAGCACGGGGTTGGCCAGGTGGGCGTCAGTCTCCCGCGCCACACTGGCCTCCCGCAGCCCCTCCACCAGGCGGCGGTACTCCTCCCGCAGCCGCTGCTCATCCGTCTCCTTGATCCTGCAGGCAAGGGGGTTCAGGCAGGGGATATGCGGGGGATGCAGGGACAGGGCAGCTGGTCCTGGGGCCACGCTGGCCAGAAGGGGGTTCCTGGGAGAGGCACCGGTCGCACAGCAGGGGCAGGGGCGGGATGCAGAGCCCCCACCTGAGCACCGTCTTCTGCAAGGTCTCCAGGTTGCCCTGGCAGCGGTCCAGGGTCCGACGGGTGAGGTTGACGCTCATGGAGTCGATGCAGACGTTGTCTGGGGAAGACAGGGGAGGGACCCGGGCTCGGTCAGGCCACTGGAGCTGCTGGAGCTGCTGGAGCCGCGGCAGAGGGGCTGGCGCCCACGCGTCCCCGTGTGCCCCGCTCCTGCCTCACCGATGTTGTGGGCCTCGTCGAAGACCACGACGGCCTTGCGGGCCAGCTCCTTGGACACCAGCTCTGCAATCTTGGGGTCCAAGAGGTAATGGTAGCTATAAACCACCACGTTGGCGTGCAGGATCTGGGGGCCGAGGAGGCAGGGTTAGCCCAGCCCACGTGAGGTGTGCACACTAACCCTCCACTCCTCGCCCTGTACCCCGACCGGTCCCGCTCTCACAGGCCCGCAGAGGCCTGGTGAGACAGACATGGGCAAGGGACAGAGAGAAGCTAATGGACAGAGACAGACGGACATGCAGGCGAGCTGACGGGCTACCCCGCACTGCTGCCCTCCTCTGCTCGGCCCCCAGCAGCCTCCTCACCGAATACCGGGCAAGGAAGTAGGGGCACCAGCCCTGGCGCCGCCCCAAGGCCTTCAGGTCATCCAGGTTGTAGATCCCAGCGGGGAGAGGCACCTGGCGCCCATGGACATCAAACTCCTGGGGCAAGAGGGTACGCGGGGTCAGGGAGGCCGGCTACTACCGCCAACCCGGTTTTCTTCCCTTGGCCCGGCCGGCAGGCACCTCGTAGAAGCGGCAGTGGGGCAGGCTGGGGTCCTGCTGGTACTGTGCCCGCACGTACGAGGCCGTGAGGCTGTGACATTTCCCGTCGACGTCTTTCCCAAAGCGCAGGGGCATCACCTGGAGGCGAGGTGGGAGAGGACGCAGCTTAGCGCCAAGGTGTTCAACCACTCCTCGAACCTGGGGCTCTACGCCTGCCAACAAGGTGGGACGGGGTTGGAGGGTGGTGCTGGCCTATTCCATCTGCGGTGAGAATGAGGAATTCTGGGGGAAACTTAAACCGCAACGGTTTCATTATTAAAGAGTTAAGACACCGGGGAGACCTTAACCACAGGGGGTGTAACAGCAGTGCGACTGTTAGACTCTTACACTGAGCTCAGGGTTGTGAGTTCCAGCCCTGTGTCTGGTACGGCAAGGAGACTCTAGTTCATAACACCATATTGCGTATTTCCAAGCTCCTGTGAGAGATCTTAAAAGTTCTCATTACAAGAAAAAAATTTTCTGTGACTGTGTAAAGTGATAGATATTAACTAGACTTACCACGGTGATTATTTTGCAATATACACAAATACCGACTCATTACATGGCACACCTGAAACTAAAGTTATATGTCAATTTTACCTTGATTTAAAAAATCATCTCACCACGGGGCGCCTGGGTGGCTCAGTGGGTTAAAGCCTCTGCCTTCGGCTCAGGTCATGATCCCAGAGTCCTGGGATCGAGCCCCGCATCGGGCTCTCTGCTCAGCAGGGGAGCCTGCTTCCTCCTCTCTCTCTCTGCCTGCCTCTCTGCCTACTTGTGATCTCTGTCTGTCAAATAAATAAATAAACAAAATCTTAAAAAAAAAAAAAATCATCTCACCTAATCTTTCTTTTAATGATTTTTAAAGATTTTATTTCTTTATTTGACAGAGAGAGATCACAAGTAGGCAGAGAGATATGATGGACATATAATACTATTAGTTTCAGGTGTACAACATAATAATTTGATACTTGTAAATACCACAAAATGACCATCACAAAAAGCCTAATTAATATCCATCACCCCACAGTTACAATTTTTCTTTTTTACTTTCTCAGTTTTTTTAAAGTAAACTCTACACCCAACGTGGGGCTTGAACTCATGACCTGGAGATGAAGCATCGCGTGCTCTACTGACTGAGCCAGCCAGGAGCCCCTCTTAGTGACTTTCAAATATACAGCACAGTCACCACGCTGTCAGTTACCTCCCTGTAACCTGCTTGCTTAATAACTGGCAGTTTGTATATTTTGACCCCCTTCGCCCATCTCACCCCCGCTCTCCCCCCTTGCCCAATCTTATCAACTGTATAAAGCTGATAATTAATGAGCCCCGTTTTACAGAAAAGAAGACTGAAGCCCCACTATAAAAAATCACCTTTCCAAGAATACGTGACTATTAGATTTCCAAGCCAGGAAACCTGGCCTGCTAGACTCCAGGAACAGCCTTTTTTAACCTCTCCCAGGCTGGGGAGGTGTGTTTGTCTGGGCCACCCCACCAGGAGTCAGAGTTTGACATGTGACAATTCTGCAAGTGGTCCCTGCCTGCTGCCCTGAGGGGTCTGGTTTGCGGATCTAGGACTCCGGTCAGATGGAGGTTTCCTCAACTCTGAGGCTTGGGGCAAGGGGAGAAAGGGGTACACACCTCAGGATGAATACACAGGTTCTTCCGGGAGCTCAGAGCCAGCCCCAAAAATGGAAGCTTCTCACCCTCCTGCTTCTCGTAGAAGTTGAGCAACTTTCGCAGCTCTTCGATCACCTGTTCCGTGGAGGACAGAGGGAGACTCGGGCATAAGACCCTGCCCAGCCTGGTCCAGCCCCTTCCCCAGCTTCCCCAACACCCCCCAAAGCTTGAGGGCAACCAACAGGGGGACCAGCAAGTCCTGCAGGACTGGGGGAGCCCCAAGATTGGCCCTGGCTCACCTTCTCAATCTCAGGCACAGTCCTTGAGCAGTAGATGAGCTTCGTCACCTCCAGTGGATACGCCTGCCGGTGACAATGGACTCAGCCCCCATTGGACCCTTTCCCTCTGCCCCCCTCCCCGGCCCCAGGGGTCACTTACCCTCTGGTATGCCATGATCAGGGCCAACAGGGACACTGTCTTCCCAGTGCCTGAGGGCATCTCCAGGACGCCATGACCCTGCATGTTGAGAGGAAAGAGAACTTCAGGGACACAAACTCTGGGGACCACTCCCGGCATGCCACCATCTTGAAATATCGGGACAACAACAATTAAAAGTCCAGGCCCAGGGAGCAGTAGGTTTGAACCCCACTTTTGCCACCTCTTTGTTGAGTGGTCTTAGGCAAATGTCTTCACCCATGTGGCCTCAGTATCCTCATCTCTAAAATGGGCCTGGGGGCACCTGGCTGGCTCAGCTCGGAAGAGCATGTCACTCTTGATCTCAGGATTGCAAGTTCAAGCCCCACACAGGGTACACCGATTACTTTAAAAACACACACACACACGCACAATCTTTAAAAAAATAAATAAAATGGGCCTAATAGACACTTCTTCAGATCACGACTGTGAGGATTAATGAGAAACTCAGGTTTAAATATTTAGCATGGTAACTGATATGCAGCGACCCACTTTTTCTTTTAATTTAGCAAACACTTCCACAGCACCTACTCTGTGCCTGGCACCCCTTCTAAGTGTCTTATTTATATCCGGGTTTCTCCATCTAGGCTCCACTGACATATCGGCGGGGGGCTGTCCCCTGCACTGCAGAATGCTTAGCAGAACCGGTGGTCTCTACCAACCAGATGCCCACTAGTACGCCCACTCCACTAGTATGACAAGCAGGAATGTCTCTGGACTGCCTCTGGGGGTCAAAATCATCCCCAGTTAAGAACTGCTGCCTTACTTACTGAATTAACTCCCATAACCTTCACGTGAACCTCCGAGGGTAAGCAATGGTATTAAGCCCATTTTACAGAGGTGAAAGCTGCGAAACAGGGAGATGAAGGGATTCGCCCAAAGGCACACAACTGTGGGTCTAGGATTCCAACCCAGAGAGCCGGCTCCAAAGCAACGCAGCGTCTGATAAATGTTAGGTGCTGCTGTTTTAGGTAACAGGAGCTTTAGGAGCGCCAGCTTCCCGAGGACCTCACATTCCTAAAACCCCGAGGTCCAGCAATTTCCGTGCTTAGACCCGCGGGCCGTGGTGCACCTGCCGGGTGGGAAAGGCTGGGTCGGGCCCACCCACCTTGGCGTCCAGCGTGCGCTTGAGCTCCAGCATGTAGGAGAACTGCTCCGGGTAGATGTAGTCGTAAGGGAAGTAGACCAGCAGCCCGTCCACGTTGAGCCTGGCGGCAAGGGGCGACCGGCTCAGTCCCCCGCCCCCACAGCCCCTCTCCAGCGCCCACAGTCCTCTGCCGTTGGGCCGAGAGGGGTTACCTGCCGGCGCCGGTTCCCTCCTAGTGTCCCCCAGTTCCCCGGAAGCCTCGGGTCCCTGCGGCATCTCCTCGCTGACCATCCCGGTTACCGCCCCGCAGGTCCCCGCCGCTCTCCTTGCCCTACTCCTCCGGCACCCCCTCCCCCCGCCCGGGCCCCGGGCGCGCCCACTAGTCCCCCCATCTTTCAGACCCCACCCCCAAGCCCACTCGCGAGCAGCGCACTCAGGACCCCTTCTCACTTCATGGCGCCGGCCGCCAAGAAAAGCGGCGTCGGCCCGCCTCCCTCATAAATATTCAGGACGCTGGATCGGTGGGGAACCCTCCAGGTGCCGCTCCACCTTTCTCAGGACTCCATTGGCTGATCCCGCCCGTCACTCTGCTGGGCGAGGGGGACAATGCGCGTGCGCACGGCAATGTGGGGGGCGGGCTCCCGGGAGAGGTGGTGCCGGAGGCGTTGCTGAGGATCGCGGAGTAACGAGAACAACACATGAAGGAGGAGAACCGAGATAATCGATCCCATTCATTAGGATTTGGTCTTCCTGCAACTGCCCATATCGTGTAGCAGTGAATGGAGTCTAAAGGAACTGACAAGGAAATTGAGGACCCTTACGGAGCCCACGAGTTAGGAATAGCTTCGTCGCACCAGACTAACGTGCATCTATAAAATGCCTGCTGTGTGCTAGACTTCTCTGGGATGAATAACTCCTCCCGTTTAGTGAACGCCTACTGTTTGCCAGATACTGTCCGCATCAGGCAGTAATGCAAGGCATCGTGGCTTGGTAGCTAAGGTGTGGACTCTGGAACCAGAATGCCCGTGTCCAAATCCCGGCTCCACTGTTTACCAGCCCTGTGACCGTGGTCAAATTAACTTGTCATCTGCAAAGTAGGAACAATTAGATTATTCACAATGTAGGGGCACCTGGCTGTTTCAATCGGTACAGCATGGGACTCTTGATCTCAGAGTCATGAGTTCAAGCCCCACATTGGGCATAGAGCTTACATTAAAAAAAAAAAAAAAGTAAAAACAAATATTTTTAAAAAGATTACGGTGGAGATGATGCTTAAATTAACCCACATAAAGCATTTAAAACTGGGTCTAGCAGACACTCAGGATTCAGTAGGTGGGAGCTTTTGTGCAATTGCTCAACAAATAAATATGGGGTCTCTACTGTGTGCCTGACCCTGTCTGAGGCCCTGGGAACACAAAGGTAACAAGACAGCCCCTGTTTGTGTCCTCAAAGAACAGACTTTAAACATACATGTAGGGGCGCCTGGGTGGCTCAGTGGGTTAAAGCCTCTGCCTTCGGCTGGGGTCATGATTCCAGGGTACTGGGCTCGAGCCCCGCATCGGACTCTCTGCTTGGCGGGGAGCGTGCTTCCTCCTCTCTCTCTCTGTGCCTGCCTCTGCCTACTTGTAACCTCTGTCTGTCAAATAAATAAATAAATAAATCTTTAAAAAAATATATACATGCAGATATATGGTTACAAGTATGACAAGTACTGTGATGGGAAAATTCTGGAAACCATAAGGTCTACATACAGGAAACATGCTGTCAACTACCGGGGTGTGGAGTGGTCAGAAAAGCCTTCTTTGAGGAAATGAGGTTTGAGTAGACACAGGAATTAATGAGAAGGAACCAACCAGCCAAAGGGGATAGATGAGAGAAGGGGAAAGGGTGTTGGTGTTCCAGCCAGAGGGAACGTTGTATACAAAAGTTCCGCCGCCACAAGAACGCTGATGCCGCAAAGAGCTAAAGGGAAGCCTGCATGGTAGAAGGACAGAGGCAAGGACAGAGTAGAGAGAAAGCAGCTGGAGGGAGAGGCAGGGCCAGGCCAAAAATCCTTAGAGTGGTCTGCAGAACCCTGTCTAACCAGCATACCCCCTCATCATCCCCACACCAACTCCCTTACCTCTCTGATCCCCTCCTCTTTGGCTTAGCTCATTTTTTTTAAAGATTTTATTTATTTATTAAAGAGAGAGAGAGAGTGTGAGAGAGAGAATGAGCATGAGAAGTAGGAGGGTCAGAGGGAGAAGCAGACTCCCTGCAGAGCAGGGAGCCTGATGTGGGACTCGATCCTGGGACTCCAGGACCAGGACCTGAGCCAAAGGCAGTTGCTTAACCAACTGATCCACCTGGGCGTCCCTGGCTTAGCTCATTTTACTTCAGTCACATGCTGTTTCCAGAACACTCCAGGCACATCCCACCTTAGGGTCTTTGCACCTGCCTGGAATGCTCTTTCCCCTGACATCTGCATGGCTTGGCTTTGTCACATCCTTTAGGTCCTTTACTCCAATGTCATCTTCTCAGTGACACCAAATTAAACCCCCACCCCATATACACACACTCACAAACTCAAATGCAACTGTAGCTCCCTCCCTTGCTTTTTTTTTCGGAGCCCATCTAACCATCTGACATACTAAATATTTGACTTATTTACTTTAGAAGGTCAGCTCCATAAAGACAGGGATTTTGTCCATTTTACTCCCTCCTACATCTGTGGTCATTGCCACTGTGCTTGGCACACAGTGGGGTTTCAATAAATATTTGCTGAAGGGGTGAGTGAGCCATGGGGGGGGTGGTCAAATTTGCATTCTGAACCCGTAAGTCACTTGAGATGCCTTGTGCACATGAACCGGAAGGACTAAGACTGGCAGGCAGAGCCAGTCTGTGGCTAAGGCTAGGGCAGTGGAGGAAATTACATCATTAAATCCTCATGACAGTCCTATAAATCACATCCTTTTATTATCCCCATTTTACAGATGAAAAAGTGGGCTCAGAGAGGTGCAGTGAGTTGCCCAAAACCCATTTTATTCCAGGGCCCATGTGTCTATGTCTGCGTGCATGATCGTTTGTGGAGCTGATCTAAGCAGAGGAGAGTGAAGCTCGAATCCTCTGTTTAGCCGGGATTAGAGAACGAGCTTCGTTGATACAACCACAAGGCTTGGCGATAGAGCCAGAAGGCAGGAGGCAGTGGGCCACCCAAGGCTATGACTTCCTTCATAATTCCCCCTCTCTCTCTCTCTCTCTCTCTCGTTAATTCATTCATTCATTCATTCATTCATCCTGTATTACCTGAGCCCTGTGCACTTCCTGAGCTGGGGAAGCCAAAGGCACCCAGGGGTCACCAAGACAGCCTCAGCCCTGATGCTCCTTGCAGTATGACATCCAAGGAGAATAAAATGGGGAGAACCTGCACAACGTGACCTCAGATAGTAGGGAGTAAATCATGGTGTTGCCGTCCCACTGTTCACACTCGCCATGCAGCAGCTAGCCCCATCTTGCTGCTTAGTCCTCTGCTTTCTATTTGTCTCCAGTGGTGTCCTGTGCCCACAGGGCCATCACCCCACCTTACCCTGCCTCGCAGGTCTCAGAGACATCCCCTCCTCCAGGAAGCCCTCCCTGACCACCCCCCAACTGGGTCAGGCATCTTCTCTCAGCTCCCCCATCCCATCCGTGCTTACCTTGTTTAAGTGAATGGGGGAAAGGAGGAAGGACATCTTAAAACCCAGAATATAGTAAAATGAAATTGAGTATTGGGCTGATGTGAGTCAGGCATCATAGCAAGCATGCTGCTACCTCCCTGATGTCCTTCCTCACTGTCCCCCTGCTCCCAAGCCACTCCTCCTAGCCACACTTGGCTTCCTGGCTCTTCCACGCGGGCACCAGACCTGCGGGAGCCAGCTCACCTGTACAACAAATTACCCCCAAACATAATGGTCGAGAACAACAGCATTTATTATCTCACGGTTTCTGTAGGTCAGGACTGTGTGCAGCTGCAGACATCCCTGTTCATCTGGGAAATGATCCAATGCTAGGCTCACCAGGTGGTTGCTGGCAAGATTCATTTCCTGGCTGGCTGTTGGCCAGGACCACCTGTAGATCCCTGCCATGTGGGCACCTCTCAAGGCAGCTGGCCTCATCCGATGGAGAAGCAAGAGAAGCCCAAGAGAGACGCAAAGAAGATAGAAGTCACCGTCTTTTCCAATCTGATGTCGGAAGTGACAGCCCGTCACTTTTGCTGTATTTCATTTCTTAGAACGCATCCAAGGGTACGTGGGTGGCTCAGCGGGGTGACTGTCTGACTCTTGGTTTCAGCTTGGGTCCTGAGCTCAGGGTCTCAGGGTCATGGGATGGACCTTGGCATGGAGTCTGCTTGAGATTCTCTCTCTGCCCCTCTCCCCACTTGTGCTCTTTCTCAAAATAAAATTTTAAAATCTTAAAAAAAAAAAACAACCCACCAAGAATACATCCCTACAGCCAGCCCATGGTCAAGGGGAGAGGTTACTCAAGGGCATGAACAGCAGGAGGGAGGGATGCTCCAGACCCTTCTCCTGCAGGCCCCCCCTGTGGTCACTAGTCCCTCTGTCTGGAAGGCTTTTCCCCCAGATCTCTGTGACTTCTTCCCTCACCTCCCTCAAGCCTTCTGTAAAGTTCCATTCTTCAGCAAGACCTTTCTGACTGTTCTATTTAAATTGCATCACTCCCTGGATAGGCTGAATAGTGGTCCCCAGAGATCCCCAGGCCCCGATCTCTGGAACATCCCTTTATATGGCAAGAGAGACTTCGCAGGTGTGACGAAGTTAAGGCAGTTGAGATATCCAGGCGTGCCTAAATGTAATCACTGATGCCTTTATAAGGGGAGATCCAACAGCAGAACAGAGACAGAGGCAATGTAACAGGATCGAGATGCTACACTGTAGTGTCTGAAGACAGAGGAAGGGGGCAGAGCCAAAGAACACAAGGAACACAGCTCTAGAAACTGAAAAAGGTGAGGAAACAGATTCTCCCACAGAGCCTCGGGGAGCACAGCCCTGCTAACACCTGGGTTTCAGCCGGTGAAACTGATTTTGGACTTCTGACCTTCAGAGCTGTACGAAAATAAATGTGTTGTTTTAAGCCACCGAGTATGGAGTCATTTGTTACAACAGCCACAGGAATTGAGTATTTGTCCCAGTCAGGGGCAAGAATATATCTGCTTCACCTAACTCGGTTTTTTCCCCAATAGCGAGCAGTATCTGAGATGCTATTTTTGGCTTATTGTTCTATTTATTGTCTGCGTCTTCCACTTGAATATCAGCTCTAATGCCATGGTCATTTTATAACTGTTTATTAGGGACAATTTCAAATGGGCACAAAAGTCGAGAGAACCGTATGAAGACCCACATCCCCCAAACTTCATTAAATGTCAAACGAGGACCAATCCTGCTTCAGCCACACCCAAAGCAGTCACCTATTTTGAAGCAAATCCCAGGCACCCTCTCATTTTATGATAGGTATTTCAGAATGAATCTCTAAAAGTAGACACTCCATAAAAGCA